TATATTTAGACCTATCCCTGTATAATTTTTAACTTAATGCGTATAATTTAAAAATAATGAATTTTTTACACGTAGATACAATATATTCTCCTCTTTCTTAATTGTTAATGTAGGTCAAATTTAATTTAGTGAGGTTTCGTTTACTCGGAGGTGTTTCTGGCTGATTTCTGTTAATTAAATTCCCTGGAGGATCTTACTTACTTCGTCTTAATTATTCGTTGAAAGGTTCGTTACACCTTCCACAAACCTTTATTTATTTTTTATTGTTTTATATAAAATTTGATAGATTTAACGGCTCGTTCATCGTTTCTTATCTACTATGAGGGTGGCTGTTGCTTTTAAATGATGTATTCCTAAGCGTTTTAATTAAATCTCATAAAATATGAGTAACTTATTCAGCCTACATTAACGAAGAATTGATACAAAATAACATAATGAAGTTATTTGAGTAAATTATTCTAGTGTTGTATGAATGTGTTATTAACACATATTGCTATTGATTACGTATTGTCTATGTTATAGTAATGAATAACTGGCAAATATTTATACAGTTTTATTATTAACAGATAGACGAGAAGTCCTACTTAATGCAGAATTAAATAGGAAAAATTGGTATTTTATATCCAAAACAAGATCAAATAGGTCCTACTTACTGTAGAATCAATAAGAAAACCTGACATTTTATGTCAGAAATAATCGGTACGCTATATTTGACATAAAAATACTTTCTTAAACATTAAAAAAATCATAAAGTAATTCAAAAAAATCACTTTACAGCTCCTTTCTCTTATTAATTTTCTAGATATTTGACATAAAAATGAAGTATAGAATAAAAAAAGCATAATTAACTTTCCTTAAATCGTAAATTATTGATGTTATTTTGAGGATGCGTTTTTATAAGTAAAAGCTAAATATTCAAAATGGATGAGGAGCAACAAGTGGAGTTTTCGAGCAAAGATTAATTGTTCAAAATATTAAATATTAAAGAAGTAAAAGTTATCAAAAAAACCCCTCGCCTGATTTTTGAAGGATAAAGTTAATAATACGCGGTGGACAGAAGTGAGGAGGAAGACAAATGAAACTATCGGAAGCTGTTGCCTTTAGTATAATCTAAACAACCCCCTTTTGTGACAAGCGCCTTGCTTCTGCCAGACAATTGCTGTCTCAGATTGTGACAAATTGCCTGCGTGGATGTAATCATTTTATACTTTATCCACTGCCCTAATCTGTATCATTTCCGCGTATCAACAAGTTTATATTATTTAGTTTATGTAGAAATTTTCGAGTGTAAGTTTTCTGCCTCACTCTAATTGGATTTTTTGATAAATTAAAAATAAACGATTAAAATGTTATAATATGTGGCAAAAAATGAACATTGACGAAAATACTTATTGAGAAATATATAGAGGACGGTCCTAAAGTCAGTTAACCGTGCTTTCTGGTGTGCATTCGAGGCGCGCTTGTGATATAAATCATACAGTATTTGAATGAAACGACAAGTTAGAGCTTTAGTGGTTAACTGATTTTTGGGTCATCCTCTGTATTTATTCACACATTATTCTACAAAATTTTAATATTTGTGTTATTTAAATATGAAATTAATGTTATATTTTTAAGATGAGCCTGAATATATAAATTATAGTTTGAATAGAAAACTCGTTTTAAAGCATAAAAGTGAGTCTTTTCACCTAATGTACTGAATTAATAAATTTGACATGTTCATTTTTTCATAAACAGTGCTAAAGACAGGTAAGTTTAAAATATGTTATTATTAGACAGTTTTTATAATACTGTCAAAAATAAGAATCTAGTTGTTCTTCAATCCTCTAACACTGTAACTTCTTCGATGTAAAGCTCCATACGTAACATAATAAGTAAAGGCTCATTATAATATTATTTATACATTCTTGAGATTCATAATAATTCATTTATTAAGTTGGAGAAAAGATATGAAAATCTTGAATAAATATCACAATATTTTTTTAAAATTCTTGCGTAAGAATTACGAAATTTATTTCTTTACTCTATGTTTGACTGGCAAAATTCTCTTCTTAACTATGAGTGACTTACAAATTTTATTTCTATTTATAATAAAAGGCATAAAATTTTTCTTTACACGCGTAAGGATGGTAATATTCTATCTCAATCAAACTTGACCAAAGTCTTTTCTCTAGTTATAAATGAGGATACAGAATCCTCATACTATTTGTGTGCCAGGCTCACAAAATTCTTTTCTGTGTTTATGAATAGCGATCATAAAACTATTTACTTTATCCATAGATAAAGGTAACAAAATCCTCCCTCTGTAATTGAAACTAAAATTCACTCTTTAATTATGAGGATGAGTTGGCCAAATATTCCATTTAATTAAGGCTGGCAATAGTTTTCTGCGGAGGCTTGGTAGAAAGAATCCTCGATTCCGTTATCAACGCAACAATTTTATTACACCTACCGAATTTACCTTTTATTACACGCGATTTTATTTCATTTAAAAAATAACTTAAATAAATAAATAATATTTACTCCTAACACAAAAGATATATTATTGACGAATTTTATTTAATAAATAATATTAATAAAAGAATAAAGAAAATATTAAAGAAAAATATTTTAAAATTGCAACATAAAAGTCAAAGGATACGTAAGATAAATAAACATTGAAATTAATTAATTAATATATTTAAGATTTTTATGTTTAATAGATTATTATTATTGTCCTAATTTTAATCAATGTAATGAAGTTGAATTTATTTTAAATTATATCTTATAATTAACGCGCGTTATTATATTAAATATGTTTATATGAAGAGAAAATTAAATTAACCAATTAATAATAAATTTTTAATTTAATTATTTAATGTTTTAAAAAAATAAACATTTTAAGTTTATTACATTTACTGTTTCTACGTATTGGATACGTAACAAATTTATATTTGCCTTTAAATTTTGATGAAGTTAGACTATTTTTAAATGAACTATTACTTGGATTTTTTTATTAAATGTTTGTTTTCACTGTAATATGTTTTATGGAAGCGAAATGGGGTGTTTCTACGTTATTTCTCATAAGGAAAATTAAAATTTATAAAATAATTTCTTTCTTTTTTTTATTAATTTCCATAATAAACACTCATTTTTATAGCAATACTACTATTTTTATACTTGCTCACAAGCTCACACCCTACACTGGCCTTTATAGTCAGTGTTTTTTTTCCTTCTTACAATTATACTTCTTACCCTCACTTTTTATGTTTAAAAAATAATTTGTATTTTCATACTGTTTTATAATGAAAACGAATGTTTTATATAAGACTTGTATTACCTTTTACAAAAATAAGACACTTACCTTTTACGAGGAAAAATAAGTAAACTTTCGAAACCCAGTTTATATCTTTTACTCTCGCCTCTTCCAATAAAACTAAAAGTAAAAAATAGAAATATCGAAAAACTAAAAATCATTTATAAAATAATTTGTATTTTTCTTCATTTCTTTCTTGTTTCGTTGGTTTTTGTCAGCAAAGTTATACGAAATCACTTAAACTCACTTTTTGTATAGAAGCGAGTGACTTATTAATCGAATTCAAATTTTTATTCATATTTTTTATGACGAAACTCTACTTTTTATGAAATAAATTTCTTATTTCACTCTAAATATTTCTATATTTTAAGCGAGAGAATGTGAAGTTATTATTATTTTTTCCATCGGTAAACTTAATATATGTTATACGAGCCGTTAAACATATCTATAACTTAAAACTAATGTTTAAAAATCGTAACTATCAAATTTCCTATAATGAATAGCGATTTATCACGGTTTAAATATTATTCAATTTTAATAATTAAAGGTAGTATCGTGCGGTAAGAACTCGCCTGTTTGAATTTTTACGAAAGTCAAAGTACGTAAACACGTCTTTATTTCAAAAAATACGAAAGTATCAGCTATACTCATAACAAGAATTTACTTCTGCTAAGATAATACGGTAAATACTAATACAAAAATGCATATCTGCATGATAAAAGCTATAACTATTATCATCATTATCTATATAAATAGCCGGGTTTTAGAGCTATTATCCCTATTGTTTAAGTACAGCTTTTCTAAATATCATCATCTCGATGCATAAATAGAAGAATAAAATATCTAATTTCATTAAATTACATCTAAAAATATATTTAAATTGTTTTAAGTAATGTTTTACTTTTTAAAAGTTTCAAAATTATTAAAAAAACATATATATATAAATTTAATATTTTACATTAGCTGATTGTCCAATTATTAATATTCAATTAAGCTTATTATCAGTTAAATGAATCATTAATTAATTAAAATTTACAAATAGAAATTAGAATATTATTAATTATCATAAAAGCTTGTTTAAGATTAGTAATTAACGAAATAATTTGAATTTCTATTGATCTAATTACGTGTTAATCATTTCTATCGTAACCGGCGTAATTTTACATTTACAGACGTGTTTTTAAGTACATCGCTTGTACGCTTTGCTCTTTTTAACATTTAAAATTTTCAAATGATTAAGTACAAAACTTTATTTAGGAACGAGCCAGAAGTGAAAGGAGTCGCGCTAGTTTAGTTAAGTGTACAAAGTCAGAAAGTATATTAAATATTCTATAGATATCGATTTCTCGTGTATTGAGATAAAAGCAAAATAGTGTACAGTTAGCTAGTTTATATCCGAAGAAAATGGGCGTAAGTTGGAAAATAACAGGGGGGAGAAGAAACGAAAACCGAAATTAGTACATAAATAACATAATTTATAACTTTAATTAAATGAGATGTAAGCCTATAAAAAACGTTATAAAAACAGATTAAAGGGTTTTTCAAGTTGCTAAACTTTACAACCCTTACTTTATGATAAATAGATAAGAGAAAAATCCTCGTAAAAAAAAGGAAGACGTTTCGCACCCACACGTTTCATTTTATAACCAATAAGGGTATTCTCCGGAAATGACGTCACGACCTTCTTCCAACGCCGCCACATGACTTCTATAAAGGAATGGTGCGGCACAAGTCAGGCTACAAAATAAGGTGCATCTCACAAGAACACAACTAACTACCTGAGGAGGTTACAGGTAAGCGAAAAAAATTATATAATACTTTTACTTTCCTAAATATTTATCAATTTCTTACCATCTTTCTTAAATTGCATACAAATAGGAATTAAAAATAGCGCTACCGCTTACAGGTAGGCTGCAGGTAATTAGTACACTAAAGCCTATTCGAAAGTTATATTTTGTTAGAAAAATTAAAACCTTTTTTAAAGTTTTTTTTTCTATATCTTAGAGGCACTGGCTTTATATTCTTTACGCGCGATAATGTAATTTTACCTCAGAAAAAATATTAAAATTCAGCGAATTTTTAACAGGTTGTTAGTACTTAATTAAAATTACAAAGCGTTCGTCGATTCTGCGTATAACAAATCAGCAATTTCGGCTTCGCAGAAAAGATTATTAAAAAGTTAAATAACTCTTGTTTTTTTATCTTTAAAGCACGTCTATTAATAACTTTTCCAGAAGTTTCATTATCATTAATATTTCTCCATCACGTCTTTAATACTTTATACATTAAATCTAAGTTTCTTCGTTAAAAATCGTTTGACATTTCTTAAAGTTATACGAATAGACAAACGGACATCCGCTAAATTTCTGGTGGAAACATTTCTCTAATAAATAAGATTTTCTTTTGAATAAGTTGCAGTTCAATAGTCTAAACAATACATTTCACGGTTCATTAAATTACAAGAAAGTAAGTTGTGCTCGGAATTTATAAAAGTCGATTTTCCTTTCGTCCACTCGTGCAACTTTTCATGCGCACGTTTCGTTTTTCTATCGCTTTAACTGTAAATAACCGTCAGAAATGTGCATTTTTGTCCTATTTATCAATTATTCTCGTAAATTGTTTCGATACTTTATTAAATTTATTAATTCCACAGTTATTACTCGTGTATTACAAGAAGAATGTGTAATCTGAGCTTCCGCTGCGACTAAAATCGGTGATTTTGTTTTACACCAATCTTCTCTATCCTCTTATAACTATTTGACTTTAAATTAATAATAGTTAATTAATAACTACTCTTCCTCTACCGTACATTCACGGTACCGTATTAATATCGACTTAAACTTTAATACTTCGAGTGAAGGATCCAACTTTTCCTATCTGTCTTTAACCTCTGTAATTCAATAATTATCCGTTTTCTACAATGACAATTCTTGAGTTTTAATATCAATAATCCACTTTAATAAATCGTTATTTTATTTAATACGATTTCAATTAATTACGCGTTCTTTAATCGAGAGTTAAGTGTTATTAACTGTTTAGATTTAATGTACAGTACAGTACGGTACATTTTCGCCGCTGTTTTTAAACAAGGACGAAAATTTCATACATAAAATTATTTTAATGTTTTAATTTAGTTAGAAGACTTTTGTAAAATTTCTCATTCCTTTACAATTGAGAGATAGGTCAGAAATGAATGTAAAAATTTACTAGAACAAGAAAAGATCCGGTGTTATTGCTAGAAGAGAAGATAAGTTCGAGTTAAATGTGAAAAAACTGTTGAATCTCCTATCGGATGTTAATTGATATCTTCGTCTTCACTAATCTGAGCTTAGAATTTATTAAACAGCCGATAACAGAATTAAGTATCTGGAATAAATTAACCTAATCTTAAGTAGACCAGAGGTCTGGAATAGATTAACCTGCTCTTTAATACATCACGGGATAGATTCGTGTGTAGAATAGATTTTAGACGAGGAGAAACGAGCCTTTATGAAGATCAGTTTATGATTTATAATGTAGTTTATATTGTTGTTATTATCATTAAAGTTCAAAAGTTGCAAGAATAACTCTATTTAATAATTAAAATGACGAGTGAAAATTGGTGTAGCTATTTATTTTGACCTCCGACCTCATTAAAATAACATTATTTGAATTATTAATCGTATACTTTCTGAAAATAACTCCGACGTACTATAATCTATATATAAACTCTTTTAATTGATATTTAATGCTCTATAACTTTTGAATCGCTTTCATTACCATTAACTTTTAATCAAATTTATCATATTTATAAATTATGTAAATAGTTATTTATTTAAATGAATAAATATATAATTTAATAATGCATTTCCCACTCTTTCTTATTTATTAATTGTATATGAAAATATCAGAATAGGAACATTTTCTCGACTTGAGCGGAAATCTGGAAGTTTTACTTTGATAAATCGGGGATGTTCGAAATTTTACAAGAGAATTGGCTAAGGAATAGAACATTTAATTTGATATAACGAAACCTTTCTTGTCATTCGGTCAAATAAGGATCCGGTGATAGACTTAAGTCTTTCTCCGTTTCTCTCTTCCTGTAATAAAGATTAAAAGATAGAACTCCTTCCAATATCTCTTGGTGTAGTAAAGACTAGAGAATAAAGTATTTTCTCTGTTGCCTCTTACCAGGTAGCCACAACAACACGGACTGAATTCTTCCCTCTATTCGTCCTATGATGTAACAAGCACTACATCCTTCTGTGTTTTGCTGTAATAAACACAAAGAGTTAGAATGAAGCAGCGGTCTCTAAATCTAGTAAAGAACTTAAACCAGTTAAATAATTTTTAATCCGCGTGTTTTTATTCTCCATTGTCTTAAAAACATTTTCTGTTGCGCCTTTATCTACTTCACAGATTAAATTTTTTTAAAATTATTTTACTTTCTAACATAATCACATTTTCTAAGTTTGAACTTTAAATGACAAGACGAGATTGGACGAAAGTTTCAAGCGACGAATGTTGACTTTTACAGTTGAGTCTAGATTAAGTTGACCATGTCAACGTTTTTGAAGACTTTTAAACTATAAAAAAAATAATAACCTTCTCCCCGTATTGACTTTTTTTCCAATTTATCAACTCGGATGTACAGTACAACCCGACATTAAGTCCTCGACAATTGTATTTAGATAAAGTCTCGAAAGGTAACAAAGGTCCGAGTTGCTCATTAAATGTGGTAAACATAAATAAATCAATTTACCAAATTTACAGCAGTTTACGGCCACGTTGTTTGACGGTAAATTAATAAATTTCTTGTGTTAGAATAAAAAAGAAATTCTTTTAATTAACGTTGATTAACTTACTTTTTAATAAACGTTTACCTAAACAATTTTTTCCACCTTGGCAGATATTTGCTCTTACTCAAAATTTTTAAATAATCTTTTTAACTCATATTTACCGAGTCAATCGATATAAATCCGATTCTTGACATAATTGTTTGCTAAGAAAATTTTTTCGTAAATCAATTTTTCCTCCTCCTTTTTCTTTGTTGATCGAGTTTAGCCTATATAACCTTCCCTTAATTTAATATTAAACTTATGATTGGAATATATTCTTGATAATTCGAGTAAAGATGACAGAATTTCGAATTTACTTGTCTTAATCTCGAGATTACATTTTGATTTTTTCGTTTTTTTCGTATTATTTTCTATTGGTAAATGTTAATTATGTAGAATAATCTCAGTCGAAGAAATCATACTTTCAAAAATTAATTAATTAAAGTATTCGAAGAAGTTAATTCCTTATTTTATCTTAAATTCTAACACTCTATCTGTATGGATGAGTTAAAAACCCTTATTTTTAAGTCCTGTAAAGATCGGGAGACGGACTGAAGTTTTCCTTCTGTCTAATGAAGAATCTGAAGTTTAAACTCCTTTTTCTATTTTTTTCCCTTGATTTGACAAAGAATATAAATTTAAATTAAATTCTTTTTATCATATTTACCTCAAACGTAAACTCGAACCTAAACCTGAGGATGGACTAAACTTTCTTTTATCAATTCTTAATCTAGTAAAAAAAACCTTACCAGATAGCCCGAAAGTATCTATTGTTTACTCTTTAGTCTACAAAGACCAGCCCATGATCCAAAAATATGTAGGTTTAAATAGAGTTTAAAATTCGAAACACTATTTAGCAGAAAGTAGGCCCTCGTAATAAACAAACAATTATCTTTATAATAAAAATATACAGAGAAATCAACGTGCCTATATAAAATGTATGCATTGTTCTTCGTACGTATAACTACACGCCGCCATACTAGACACATCTGTCAGGAAAGTAAGTACAGTACCCGAGACTATCCATTTGATAGAATGATATAATATTAATATATTAATATTATAATAAAAATGCGCCCAACTTCCATATATAATGCGAAAAATAATTACTATTTCGGCGCTATAAACTACAAATTATGTACAATTAGAAACTATTACGTTACTGATTAATTAATTTTACTCTTGAACTCGGCATCTGGTATTATAAATCTCATTTAAATATTTACAATTTGAATTTATTTTGAAAAATTCTCTTCCCTCTCATCAACATCAACATGTTTATCATTTTAAGCCGTAAATATTTAAAATTTATACGAGTTAAAGCATATTTATTTACTCATTTGAGGTAAATTTCTTGGCTACAAAACACGTCCACAACTGTAAACTGCAATACCTGTAATTCAATTTTTGACAGATCTCTAATATATTTATGCTAAGTACACTTTTCTGCATTGGCACGATACGAATATCTCTCGAGTTTCATTGACAGGAAAATTTTTCTTCCTTAGAAATGTTTCTGTTTCTGCAAAACAGTAAACAATATATTTTAATGGCGTAAGCTGATATTAAAGAAAGTAACTAATAACTGTCAATTATATTGTTTTTATTTCTACATTATGTAAATTATATTAGTAGAAACAAAATGATGTACTTTCATTTGCATAATTTTCAATAATTTAGAGTAATAACTTTAGTAAATTTTACTTCCATAAATTATGAAGTGACGTGGAAGAATGGAAGGAAATGAAAATAAACACGCCATTTTTATAACTTCCTCTTTCATTTTCTAATAAATAATGATTTACCAGCGACAATATTAATCTAGCGGTACAGATGATTACTTATAGGCCTACTAATTTCGAATCATTGCTGTGCGTTAATATACCGGTCGAACTTATTAATTATAGATTAATCTACTGGCATAAATTTGCAATTTTCTAATTTAGCAATTGTTTCGAGAAGTCGCTCGTACTGTA